CTCTGAGGGGGCAGGGGGGAGGCCTTGGCCTGAAGCGTGGAGGCCATGGGAAGGGCTGGGACGAGGGATGGTGCTCCAGGTCCCTCTTCACCCCGGGGACAGCCCTCGGCAGCACCAGTGGCAGAATCCACTGCCACCACCTCTGCGGGGAGCTGCTCTGGTTCTTCTTAACTCAAATGGACCTGTCTGCGCAGAGCGGATTTCTCCGAGCATGGCCCTACCCAGGATGTGCTGACAATGTGATTAATCTGACAGCTAAAAAAGAGCAAATAAAATTGATGATCTGGCCCAAGCAGCTGCTCTGCCCTGTTGTTCTTAGGGGGGGGGCTCTGCCCTGTGTCCTGTGTGACGCACTGAGACCACCTCCCTCGCCCCACCGGCTCCGGAAAATCTTCCCGAAGTCCAACGCATGAGAAGTGAAGTGGCACCATGTGAAACACATCAGAAGTGACTTGGGAAGTCAAGTGAGCGGTGAAGCTGGGCAGGAGGCAGACGGCTGCTTTCTTCCTCCCTCCTCCTCTTCACCTTTCTGGTCTTTTTCCATCCTCGGGGGCCTTCAGAAATGAAGAAAACATAAGTGCTGAAACAGGCACCTGAAGAAGCCACCGAGGGCTGTGACCTCCCTGGGATTGATGGCGCAGTGGTTCCAACCGGGGAAACCCCTGAGGGCCGCCTGACCCAGGCTGCCAAGCGGTGTGGGGCGGGGGGAGACCGTGAGCACCCACCGAGGTCTGGAGCCGGGTCCTGCTGCCGCCTCCAGACACCCCCAGCGTCCCCTCGAGCTGAGCCAGCCCCTTCTTTTGGCGCGGGAGCGTGCGGGCCCAGCATCACATGGAGCCCGAAGCGTTCAGCGACTTCACGGTGGTGTGGGCTGCCCGGGGGGGACACGTGAGGCCGGGGTGGTGTTGGGGCAGGAGGGAGCCCCTCGCCCCCCGCGGAACCTCCCTACGGCGGGGCCGCCGTTAACACCGCGTGCTGCTGCAGAGACCTCCCCGCTCCTGAAGCCTCCACCAGGTGAGTCACCCTTTTTCCTGGAACAGCCAAACTCATTTACTCAGAACAGGGATGAGGCCCTCTGGTTCCCCCGAGGGAAGGTTAATCAGCCTCCTCGTACAAAAAAGGACCTTTTGTTTTCCAGCCCTTGCAGTGAAGGTTTTCGTAGAGGGAAAGTGCAAGCGGCTGTGGAAGCCACACCGTGCCCAGGGGCGTCGGCGACAGTCAGAGGCCACGAGCGGGGCGAGGGAAGGGACCAGCTCCCTCCGTCCTGCCCGTGCGGCCGCATGCTCTGCGGCGGGGCCCGGCCGGGCTGCCCCGAGCCCACAGATGTGTCTGTGCAGGAGGGAATCGAAAAGCAGCCGCTATGGCCCCGAGGGTGCCAGAGGCGCGGGCTGGGCTGCGGCGGAGCTCCAACGCCTGTCTGCACACGCCCGGTGCTGCGAGGGCTTCGGCACCGGCGAGGGGAAAACCACTGACGTCAACGCAATGGGATGAGGTCCTGCTGCTGCCCTGCGCGGGCAAAGCCGAGGTGGCAGCACCCGGTGGTTCCTACGGCCTCCCTCAAGGAATTACCTTGCCGTGGAGGCGGAGCACTGAGGAAAAGCCTTTTCTGGGCAGTGTTGTGCAAGACCGGCAGTTTACTGCGTGCAAACAGGCTACGGAGAGGCCCAGAAGAAGATGGGCATCCAGAGGCTCCCTGCCCCGAAAGGCACTGGGGATGCTGTACAGACGTTGTCCGCACATGACCCCATTGCCCGAGCCGCTGCCACCCAGGATGCACATCTTGGATTTCTCTGGGGTGTTTTCTAAGATCGGGGACGTTAAAGCCAACAAAAGAACAGAGAACAGCTCCCTGCAGCGCGCATCCGCAGCTTGCGTTTTGCTTTCGGAATTGCGAAGGGTCAAACACTGTCTGCTTCTTTTCCTGAGGCAACGTATCATTTCCAACGAGGAAACATCCCGTGTGGGGAGTAAACGCCTCCATACTGCTGCGGTGTGCGATGCTGCGGGAGGGCGGCGGCGGGCAGCGCCCGCTGTGCCACGTGGTAGCGCCCATCTGTCAGAAGCTGAGACCTCAGGGTCCAAAAACTTTCCTTAGAAAGATGCTTCTAGGACCCGCCCCGGATACAGCCGTGAACAATCCCACACTGATGTAAGACAGCGAATGAATCACGGAGCCACCTGGCTCCGTGTCTCCAGACGTATTTTAGCCCGTGCCAAGCAACACCATCGCCCTGCAGCTAGTCATCACAGGCTTGTGGTGGCCCTGGGGGCCACCTCTGCCAGCAGAGCCCTTGGGGACCCTCAGCTGGGTTGTTCCAGGGGTTCTGCTCACTGGGGTTGTCGGATCTTCCCAGTGCCTGCGCCAGACACCTCCCAGTCAAGGACAGCCTGGCGCAAAGGCGAAGAAAAGACCTTCCAGTCAGGGTGTGGAACCACAACATGGTGTTTCCAAGGAGCAGCGATGCTCCCTCCTCCCTTGCTGCTGCAGCCGAGTCCCTGTGAGCCCCGCGGCAGCTGTGCACAAAGCCCGAGACGGTGCACGGAGCCGAGATGGAGGGATCCCACCTCCGGACCTGGAGGCTTGTTTGTGCTCCAGTGGCTGCCCAGCAGAAGCATTTCTGCACACGCTGGTGGCACTGCAGGGGGAGAGACGTTAACCTCTGAGCTGGAGCTGCTGACAGCTTTCAACTCAATAACCATGGAAAAGTTTTCTCCTCCAGGGTAAGCCTGAGGTTTCATGGCGGGTGGGAGAAGAAAAGGAAATTAAACTCAGCTCTTCCCGCTCTGCCTGACCGGTGGACTCCCCTTCCCACCTCAGAACTGCATTTTAAACTAATACCACCAATTTCCCCTTTTTCCAGGAATGTGACTCCTGCAACCCCAGGGCACAGAACCATGAAACGGCTTTTTGTCTTGGGGCTGGCGTCTTTGTTATCAAGGTGAAGCCAACGAGAACAATTGCTTTCCACACTTGCTTTTCCTCCTCATAATCAGCATTGTTTGCTCATGCTGCAATGCCCCAAGCCAGCAACTGATAGGGATTGGCAGTTCAGGTGAATTGCACCCATATTTGTCCAACGGAAAAACCCGTAAACCCGACTGCAGCCAGGCTAGGGAGAGGATTCTGGGCACAGGCGGCAGTGTTAATTACTGCTCTTATTGCTAATAGCACGGGTGAGTGGGAATGAAAGAAGGGGCAGCACAGGAAGGGGAAAGGTAGGGCCAAAGTGTATGGAGGGCCTCCGGGTGGGTGCAGCAGCAAAGGGCTAGAGAAGAATAGGCTGATTATTGTGGGATTACTGGGATAAAGTGGGCAGGGATGGTGAGACAGGTGAGAATCACCGGGAGCTGGAGGGCTGCCAGGGGCTGTGAGCGGCACCGGGCAGCGCTGAGGGCGTGCAGCGACCTCCCCGCAGCCCCGCACGGCCGGGCAGCGCGCGTCTCTGCCTTGGGGTGGCTGAAATCCCCGGACGCCTGTAGCAGCCTTTGGGCCTGAGGTTCAGGCACTCTCTCGGCAGCCGCTCCCAGGCCGCCCCTGGCACAAGAGCCGGGATTTGCTCCCAGGGTCCGTTTTCCACGTGGAGCCACCGGGTGGCCATGCACAAAGCGCTCAGAGAGTGGCACCTTCCCCTCGGCTCCCCGTGGCCTGGGCACCCGTTGGCACCGGTGGCACAAGGCGCTCGCTTCGCCTTTGTCTGCAGCCCGGGGAAGCCACGGGGCTGCGGGGGGGCTTCTGCCCGGCTCCCCTTTCCGGGGACCCGGAGACAAG